GGGCTGCACTCCTTCAAACTGTGAGCTAAAGTAAATTCTCACCCTTTAAGTTGCTTCACCACAACATGAAAAGCAACTGATTCAGAAGCTAAGGAGCCTCCAAGAAGCTATGAGGCCTTCAAGAAGGCCCCCAGTGGCCCTGCCCTCTGGTAATCACAGCTCATACCCCCCAATACGATAGACACAAAGAGTGTCATTTATGATTAGACTATGGAAGACAGTGTGACTCCAATTTTGTGGCTGCTTCTCTGTGCACCTCAGGGAAACCAGTAGCCAGGCGAGGAGAGACCCAGTGGAGACGTGGGAGGTATGTTGGGGGGGAGGGTGATTCAGACTTGCTCCACATAGCTCAGTAGGTCCCTACCCCAAAGCACCCTTTAGAGGACCAAAGCTTGAAGGTCCCTTAGCACGGCCTGATGGGACATTCTCAGAGGACCACCTCAAAATGGTGCTTGTGTGGCACTGCTCTTTCGAGACACTAGATTTGGGGACAAATTGTTCCACAGCAATAGCTGACAGGTACTGCAGGGGAGCATAGAAAAGGAGTTAAATTTTGATCTGATGTGTCATTATTATAGAGCAGCATCAATCCATCCAGCAAGGTAGTTCTGACCCACTGTTCACATGTGGAAAATACCGCCTGAGAGAAAAGTGCTGCAGCCACTCCACAGGGACTGAAGCAGGGTTAGGAACAGCAGGGGAGCAATGACTAACTGCTGAAAGGGGAGGGTTCACAGCAACCCCCTCCCCAAGTCAATCTCCCATGCGCCTGGAGACGATGCACCAGCCGGAACATAAGATCTGAAGTGTAGGAGGCGGTCTAACTTGTGGGGTCCGATCCCCGGATAGCCTCATAGCCACAGAAATATTCACACACCAGAAGAAGCAAGTGTGCCTCCTCCAGGCCTGGTCCCTCTGGTGTGACCTGCATATTTTACTTTGGTGAATTCACACTCAGAGTCTATTCTGGGGAAATAACTGTATAACTGATACACTTCATCACAGCGTCCAGAATGGAAGATGACCTGGAAGCCCACGAATAGGAGCTGTGCCTGGTGTCACATCCCGCCTTGGGAAGGAAGATATCTGCCTGTCAAGATGAAACTGAAACCCATGTTTTCAAATCAATCTCCTCAAAACTCATGATTCAGCATCAAGTGATCAAGGAGGTGACATGGACACATCCAGCCAGCCAGTCAGACAGCCGACAGCCATGTGTACACCTTCAGACTTGTGGTTGACAGTCTGTGAGGGGTATTGCCATTTACTACTGGGGAGTTCTGCTTTATATCTTTATAGTTTTCATGGGCCCTACTTCAAGTCCCAGCTCTTGAAAGCAGCCTGTCATTTTGAGCCCTTAGCGTTGTGTCTCCTGCCAGGCCTGGCATCCAATAATACTCTGGGCCTCTAATGCCCACATGGTCTGCTGGAAAACCTGCTCACTTGGCACAGCCAGCTCCCTGTGATAGAGCCTGTGGTACAGCTCCTGTCCCTCATTCCCTCCAGGCAGAGCAGGCAAGCATGGACCCAAAAATAGGGCAGTGAGCACAGCCTTCACCTGCCTTCAGTACCTTCCCCTTGGTGGCCCCAAACACATAGCAGATGACATCCGTGAGGGTCCCCTATCCCATATGAAGCTAAATACTAAAGCCAGAGATGATAGATAGTCTCTGGGGCACAGAAGCAGGGTGAAGGAGAAGGTCCTGGGACCGAGTCGGGAGGGAATCTCAGAGCCAGGGACCCTCTGTACACAGAAGCTGCCTGCCGATGTGAGGAGCTGGCCAGGCCTTGTGGGGTTCCCCTGGTGGTGATCTTGTTTCTCTGGGTACAAAGCTCTGGGGTCTGCTCATAAACTTCCCCGGCTGCTATGCTGGCCAGGTAGGTGTCATGCATCCCCAGCATTCTAATTATCTAACTTTGCCTGGAGGGCTGTCATGTCTCTCAAGGCCATCTGGGACCCCTTGGTGAGAGCACCAATTCCATTCCTAGCGACCCCCCAAAGTGGCACACAGATGATGGTGTTACCGAGGCCCATAAAAGGAGGAAGGAGGGAGCGGGTGGTGAGGCCCAGGCCAGTCCCCCACCTGTCATGCCTATGCACTGAAACCCCTTACCTTTGAAGCTTGGCTTTCACCCTTCCTTGGATCCATAACCCAACCTGACCTTAACTAACATAAGCAACCTAGACTCTGAAGGCAAAGTGTGTCTCCATGAACCAAGCACTACCTGGAAGGTTGCAAACCTTGGCTTTCTTTGTTTTTAGATTACCCCTCATTTCTTAGCTGCCTGAAACACTCAGGATGGAGGGATATGCTGGAGAAGCCTAAGGCCAAGGCTTCCTTTATTGTGTGGGGAGAATCCCAGCCTCTCCCACTTGTGTACCCAGGAATCTCCTCAGTATCCTGAGCACCGACTTTGTCGCTGAAGCCTCCCCCGCCATCTCTGGACTTCAGGCTTGGAGACTGACCAACCTGTGCTTACTCGTGATGTGACTGTCCCTGTCCACAGAGGGACTGTGGCTGCCTGGATCCCCATCAGTACGGTGGTGAAGCAGTACGAGAAGGCCCTTAGCCTCAGCCCTGAGCATCTCCTATGGGCCTCACAGGCCCCGCACAGGTTTCTGCTGTCTCCATCTCATCAGCTCCTCCAGCTCAGCCTGACAGCCTGGGATATGAATCAAAGCACCTGCTTTCCCAGGAAGCTCCCTACTGTCCGTTCTAGCACTCAGCTACCCAGAGGTCTCCTGTGTGATGTAGACAGTGTGGTCTTTCAAAGGAGACAGTCTTCGAAGAGCTGTGACCTCACTTCTTCCCCCTTCGCTCTCCCCCTCCCTCCCGTACAGAGACTAAAAATACCCCTAAGTTCCCACGTGGCCTGCCCAGCCCAGCCCAGCCCAGCCCAGCAGCCTCCTTTGTGGCCACACTTCAGCCTAAATCTTGCCCTTTGATCTATAATCTCAGCAAGGGGCCCTAAGGAAGCCTACCAACAGGTAAGATCTGGGGTTGGCTCTATAAGGAGGAGAATGCCAGCTAGGCTTAGTAGAGTTAGACAAGGGGGCTCCTGGGGACTAGATGGGTTCAGATAGGGAAGCTAGACTGTAGGAATGCAGCCGGAGCCACATTTGCCAGAGTAGGCTAAAGCTATTGCCATCCTGCCCTCTGTCCCATGGGCAGCCCTGGTAAGACTCTAACCCCCTTTTACCCTCCAGCCACTGTGGAACTACAGCAGGTGCTGGCAGGTATCCCTGAGGCCCCTTGGAGAGGCGCTGAGTGCACAGGCCTGCTTGCACCACTGTAGTTTTAGTCCATAGCCAAAGAGCCCAGCAATGACCGGAATGCAAGGACTGTGGCGTTGGCTTGGGCCTAGCCCTTCCTACGCGGGCCCCAGCTAATACACTGTAATCTAGTTAGAGGCCTCCCTAAGAGGTGGGACAGGAGAGATTCTTGGTGGGTTTGAGGGTCTTGAAGCCACCAGTCTCATGAGCTGCCCTTTGTGGGCCTGAGCGAACATTGTCCCTTGAAAATCCTCTTGAGTAGGTCCTTGTGTCGGTTCCCGTGCTGTGGGAAGGCGATTGCATCAGGGATCGGGCATGGGCCTCAAGCTCTCAGCCCGCCCCAGGCACAGGCCCTGTGGTTTGGCAGTTCCCTGGATAGGACTTGTCCCTCGATTCCCTCATTTTCCAGGCATGCACCAGACTTGCTAATCCTCTAGCACTGTGGTGGCTGTGTGAGCTACCCCCCCCCACACACACACAGCTTTCAGCTGTTAGGGACTTGGGATGGGTATCTCCACATAGGTCCTCCCCTGCCCCTTCTCCCCTCTTCCCCTCCCTCTCTCCCTTTTCTCTTCCCTCCTCCCCCTTCTTTCTTTCTGAAAAAATATCTTTTGGTGAGATCTCACAACATAAACCAAGCAGGCCTTGGACTCGCCGGTGACCCTTGTGGTTCAGCTTTCTGAGTGTTGGGACTACATGCATGCCCCACTATGACCAGCGACTGTTTCTTTCTTTGGTGGTTTCCTTGGGGAAAAATACCAGACATGTAGGTAGTTAAGTCTAGAAGTGGGTCTGCTGTCAGGCCACGAACACATCGTGATGGGAAACTGAGTTCCCAGCTGGGCGTTGGTGGTGCATGTCTTTAGTGCTTGGGAGGCAGAGGCAGGAGGACCTCTGTGAGTTCGAGTCCAGCTTGGTCTACAGAGCGAATTCCAGGACAGGCTCCAAAACAATACAGAGAAACCCTATCTCAAAACAAAACAAAACAAAACTGAGTTCCTGGTTGCAAGCCTGCCGGCTCCCCTGCTTCCTTGCTCTGTGGTCTCGGGTAAATGACTCAAACTCTCTGCATCAGTTTCTCTGTAAAATGATGGCGCTCACCTGGCTGTGTGACCGTGGGGCCAAATATGAGCACGGGAAATGGCTGGGGAGAGGCTGTGCATAGCAGCTGCCCAGGAGGACGACCCGAAGCTTCTCCACCCTTAGTCTCTCCATCAGAAGCGGAGGAAACAGGAGCAGAGAGGGTGTGGCTCAACCAAGTCACCCAGCAAATCATGCAGACAGGCTATGAAAAGCAACAGCAATACAGAACACATCCAGTGGCCTGCCCAGCAACATGGGGCCTGAGAGATGAAGCCCTTGGGCGCTTGGAGGAGGGAGGTTCCCTAGCCCAGAGGTCTACGCTGTGGAAGATAGAATGCCCAGGGCTTGTGCTCTCTACATGGTCCAATATTACCCTAACCAGTTGGCCATGAGATGTAGCCCTCAGTTTCCTCCCTATAGAGTGGAAGCAGCACTTGGCTTGCCCTTAGGGCTGAGGACCTGGGATAGAACAGGGTGTGGGACGGCCAAAGTGGTGCTAGCAGGTAGGTGCTAGCTAGGGGTGGGGATGGCCGATGCCCAGACAGTCATACAATGAATCACAGGTAGATGAGACCGTAGCTCTCATGACTGACCCGTTTTCCTACTTAGGTGCTCCAGCCAGTCCCAGGGAAGACTTCGGGGAAAGAGGGCGGACCACTCCAGTCTCTGTGGGCACTGCATCATGGTGAGGAATCTAGACAACCTGGACTTCCATCTGCCTTCACATGCCCAAGACATGCTGGATGGCCTGCAGCGTCTGCGTTCCCTGCCCAAGCTGGCCGATGTCACACTCCTGGTTGGTGACCAGGAGCTGCCCTGTCACCGCAGCCTCCTGGCTCTGAGTAGCCCCTACTTCCACGCCATGTTTGCGGGAGACTTTGCCGAGAGCTTTTCGGCACGTGTGGAACTGCGAGATGTAGAACCGGCTGCGGCGGGACAGCTGGTGGACTTCGTGTACACAGGCCGGCTGACCATTACCCAGACTAATGTGGAGGCTTTGACCCGCACCGCATCGCGCCTCCACTTCCCTACTGTGCAGAAGGTCTGTGGCCGATACCTCCAGCAGCAGTTAGATGCCACCAACTGCCTGGGCATCTGCGAGTTTGGGGAGCAACAGGGGCTGTTGGGTGTGGCTGCCAAAGCCTGGGCCTTCCTGCGGGAAAACTTCGAGGCGGTGGCACAAGAGGATGAGTTCTTGCAGCTGCCTCGAGACCGGCTGGCCACCTGTCTGGCCAGTGACCTACTGCAGGTACAACCGGAGCAAAGTCGGCTCGAGGCCCTGCTGCGCTGGGTGCGCCATGACCCCCAGGAGCGCTCTGCCCACCTGCCCGAGCTTCTCAGCCTGGTGCACCTGGATGCTGTGCCAAGGCCCTGTGTGCAACAGTTGCTGGCCACAGAGCCGCTGATTCAGGAGTCGGAGGCATGCCAAGAGGCCCTGTCCCAGGGCCACAGTAAGGTGAGTGAGGGCCAGGGGACTTCAACCTAAAAAGTGGAGGAGGAGCTCCAGAGTTCCCACCTGCACAGGGAGAAGAGAAAAGAGTGTGTACCCTCAGAGTGCCTGGCGGAGAATGGCCCCCTGCTGAAGGCTGGTCCCCAGAGCGAGCACCACGGCCATTCAGCTCTCCAGTGTGCCTTGCTCTGAGTACCGGGGGAAGAACCAAGAAGTGTCTCTATCTTTAGGAAGCCTACCGCTGAGTGAGGTTGAGCCTGAGTACAGACCTAATGCACAGTGGATGCTAACAAGCCAGGGGCATCTTGGTGAGGGCTGGCAGTCAGGAAGGGCTCCCTGGAGGAGTCAGCATTGGAGCTTGGCCTTAGAGGAGGAAGAGGAGGGAAAACCATCCAGGGCCTGGAAATTGTCACCAAGTGCTCCTGAGGAGGCTCCAACTGAACCTACTGAACCTGTATGGAGTTCCGTCCTTTCGAGTGATGGCAGTGGGCTGGCAGCTGGCAGGTCTTGACAGAGTGACAGCACTAGCTGTGGTTGCCCCAAGGGTAATCTGGAGCACCTGGGAAAGCCATTTGTGACTACTGAGAGACATAGCTCTTTACAGTGTGTGTGTGGGGGGGGAGAAGGGAGTGGTGAATGGGATGGGGTTGTGCATTGGGTAAGGGTGTGGATGGGGTAAGGGTGGTAATGGGTAGGGGTGTTCACAGGGCAGGGGCATACACCACCATATCCAGCTCATACAAACATGCGTGTACAGGTGCTCACAGATGCACACACACATGCATGTGTGCACACATGCCAAGACCCACCTAACTCAAGCACAGACACCAGCAGAAAGACACTCATGGACACTTGTGCTGGGCAGACAGTGTCCGAGCACTCTGGCATGGTTCCCACCCTCAGGAGCTTCCTGGCCTCCCACAGAAGATGCAGGAGGTGCTGGTGGTCGTGGGAGGGCGGGCGCTGGAAGAGGAGGACGAGGAGGGTGGTGAAGAACCCAGCCCCCACACCGGGAACTTTGCCTTCTACAACACCAAGGCCAGTAAGTACCTGCCATGCTTGTCCTGGACATGAGCCATGCACCATCTTGAGGTAGAGCCCGTGAGGTGTCCAGAGAATGGGGGACCTGCCCAAGGCCTGCCTCCAGAAGATTGAGTGTCAGACTTAGCAGGCTTGCAGAGGAGCCTGGTAGCTATGGGGAGGCAGCTGGCAGAGAAGAACTGGGCAATACTCTCAGTCCATCTGGTTTTTATTAGGTCCTGAGGGCTGGGATTAAAGGCCCCATAGTCCAGACAGTGCTACTCAGGGTGGATGTCCTCACCCATTGATTGTTCTAGGTTCCTCTGCCCTGTGCACCCAGTGTGGAAACCAAGGCTCCAGGTGGAAAAATGGGAGCTAAGGGGGTGTGGATATCCCAGGAGTTAAAGTTTAGTTTCTGGGCCAGTCCAAGCTGGGATCTAATCTGACCCTAACCCTGACACTCCTCCCTGGATGTGTCTTGATTTTTCTCATCTGTGAAATGGGATCCTGGTGCCTCTTCCCATGGCTGTAAAGGGGCCAGGGGAATGCGTAGTAGGGCACCCCACAGGCCGTCTGCCCAGGAAAGCTCTCGGGAAAGTGCTGATGTGGTCTGCTTGGCTCCAGGACTGAGGTAGGTTGCCAGCACCCACCGCATCAGCTCTGGCGGGCTGGAGGAAGTCCAAAGCCAGCAGTCCAGGTCACAGGCTGACGAGTGGGGATTTGGGGTTGACGTCAGAAGACAGCAGCTGGCTGGCAAGAACGGTCTGCGGCTTGCTGGGCCATACTCACCCTGGGGTGACACAGACATGAATCAGGGGACACTCCGTTCCTGCACAGGGTGCCAGGCTCGGCTGGCTCATCATGAGTCCTAGAATTCTACATGTTCCCAAACTGTCATAAACAGTCAACAGTATTCCAGGGGACTTCCCCAAGTCCCAGTCTCCCACAGACACTTGCAACGAGTCCATTCATAGGATTCGACTTTCCCACGCCTATGATCTCATGATGGTTTCTCTCAAGCACTACTCATGGCTATGTCCCTCACGACAGCGACAACAGCCTAACAATCTCTACTGGTGGGCCTTTCCCATGCAGCTCACATCTCATGCCACCCCTTTAAATTACACACACACACACACACACACACATATATATATCTTCATTTACTCATGATATGTGTGTGCCATGTTGCAAAGGTGTGAACAACTTGTGGGAGTTAATTACCTCCTTCCGTCATGTGTCATCTAGGGATCAAACTCAGGTCATCAGCCTTGATGACAAGAGCCTTTACTGGCTGAGCCATCTCTCAGGCCCAATTCACGCCCATTCTATAGACAGGGAAGCCAAGGCTGGGCCTTGTCTACTTAAGTTCACATCACTGGTGCATGCAAGCCAGGATTTGGACTTCACTCTACCTGCCGCAAGGCTGGTATCATTCTCTGGATACCTCATCTGCTCTAGAAATGTGATGAGTTGTGACAACCCAGGCTGTCTGTGACCCCCATCCTCTTCATCACTAGTGAGGGGGATGTTTCTACAGTCCGTTCCTGAAGAGGGAATAAGGGCAGGTGCGGGAGCAGAGGGCCTGCAGGAACACAGGCACTCTGACTCAGTCTCTGTCCCCACCAGGGCAATGGATGGCACTTCCGGACTTCCCCGATTACCACAAGTGGGGCTTCTCCCTGGCAGCACTCAATAGTGATGTCTATGTCACAGGTGGGTGACCCATAACTCCTAAGCCCTGATCAACTTGGTACAGCACTGGCCCCTCAAACCAGCTCTCCTACCCAACAGGATCCTGAAAGGTCTATTAAGACCTTCCAGACCTTTCTACACATCTGGAAGTGAGGAATTTCCAGAGGTAGAGATGGGGTGGGGGCAGAAATTCAAGGTCATCCTTGGCTATGTAGCAAGCTTGAGGCCTCCTTGACTCAAACAAGCAGACGAGTAAGACTCGGAACTCCACTGACAGGGGCTAGGAGCCACCACTGTGTATACTGAACCTCTCTCTGGCAGGTGGCTCAAGAGGCACCAAAACAGACACCTGGTCGACCACCCAAGCCTGGTGCTTCCCACTGAAGGAAGCTGTCTGGAAGCCTGTGGCGCCCATGCTGAAGGCACGCACGAATCATGCCAGCACAGCACTGAATGGAGAGATCTATGCCATAGGTGGTGAGGTCTCCCTTCCTGACACCAAGCCCCTCATGCCTAGAGCCACAGGGCTCCACCCATACCCTCACGGGGAGAGGACTCTGCCCTTTGGGGTCAGTGAGCCCCAGGCAAACAGTCTTCAGAACCCCTGGCTGGGGCATCCTGGGTAGCCAGGAACCAGCCAGCCCCTGTTTTCCTATTCTGGAGGACTCAGAGCCCCAGAGCCAGCAGGAATGATCATACACACCCTGGAATCAGGGACTCAGACCTCAGGTCAGAGCCACTGGGAAGTCTTGAGGGTGAATGACCCAAAGTGACCTCCATGCTGCTATCAGCCACATCGCCCAGACATTCCAGTGCCACAGTAAAGAGATTCCCTGGGGAGCATACTGGTTAGATGGATATTAAAATAAGATCCAGGGGTGTCCCCAAGAGTCGCCGGCAGCAGTCTGACCCTGAAGCCATTTCTAATGCCTAACTTTCTATGATGGAGGGGGCTCCCTTTTCTCTAATAATTGCTGTGGCCCTGGCCAGGAGCAAAAGCACACATAGACCCCAAGTCCCAAGCACCTGAGTTTACTACCTTCCCAGGTTATTACCTCCTCCACTCCCTTTCTGGGGCTCTAGAGCCATCCCTGCCACCTTTGAATGTGCAACCCTATGTTTCAGGACCCTCTCCTATTCCTAGACCCCAGTGCTCAGCCCCTACCCGGCTAAGAACACCCTTCCACAGGCACGGCCCTGGACGCAGTGGAGATGGAACGCTATGACCCCTATACGGACAGCTGGACTCCTGTCAGCCCAGCCCTCAAGTATGTCAGCAACTTCTCGGCTGCCAGCTGCCAGGGCCGCCTCTACCTGGTGGGCTCCAGTGCCTGCAAGTACAACATGCTGGCTCTCCAATGCTACAGCCCTGTGACAGGTGGGAGGACCTCCCTGATGCTCTGTTACTCCCAAAGTGACAAGGCCAGGTGGGGTTTATGGTTTCTGGACCTGGCAGAAGGATAGCCATGTGGGGCAGAGTGGGTTGGATAGATGCAGAGGCCCAAGGCCTCCCAGAAGCCTTTGGGAAGGAAGTGGGAGGGTGGCCAGGTCAAAGCCCCTCCTGCACCGCCCCCTTCATGGCCCAGTGAGAGACAGGCAAGGCAGTGGCCTCACAGCACACTGCCTCAGGCTTATTCCATTGGCAGTGAGTGTGCCGGGGCTCCAGAGCCCTCAAGTAGAGCCCTTCGTGACCCTCCCCGGCGAGGAGCTGCCCCCTCCTCCTGGTGAAGTTGTCTGTCCATGTGCCCTGCAGATGCGTGGAGTGTGATCGCATCACCTTTCCTGCCCAAGTATCTGTCCTCTCCACGCTGCGCTGCTCTGAACGGAGCCCTCTATCTCATTGGGGACAACACTAAAAAGGTGTATGTGTATGACCCGGGGGCCAACCTGTGGCAGAAGGTGAGTCTCCCCATGCCCGCCCCTGGCGAAGCCTCAATGGACTCCTGACACCCCAGAGATGTAACAGAACAGAGGTGTGGAGGAATGCCCAAGAAACCAACAGAGAAGGGGCCCCTGGGGCAGCCGTGGATAGAAGGGAAGAATCATCTGTTAGCCATGGGGTGATGAGCGTCCCACCCTGTGGGAGATCACGCCAAGCAGTGGATTCTGAGCTGAGAGTGTGGGGAGTAGCCAGCTCCCCAAAACCATCTCTTGTCCCTCTTCTTTAGCCATCAGGCCCAGGAAGCGGTGGGAGGCGGGCACATCCAGACACCATCACAAGGGACCAGAGCCCTGGCCGTTTCCCTCAGGCCCAGGCTGGATGCTCTGGACCAGTCTACTTCCCCGAGCCTCCTAGCTGAGCCACAGCTAGACTGGGCTTCCAGTAGCTCTACTTTGACCTTGTTGGGCCTGTAGGTGGGACAGCTGTGTGCTGTCCTCTTCATGCAGAGGCAACACAGGCCTTTTCTGGCACATCTGTCCCCTCCAAGAAAGCTGCAGTGGAGCCAGGGATCAACCTAGACCCTCTGGTGGTGGCTCTGGGCTCAAACCTCAGCACTGCACTTGGATCCTGTGACTCCAGGGCTTGAAGGAGCCATCAGTTAGATGTAGGTTGGAGAGAGACCGGGGCCTCACTGGAAAGCGTCTGGTATAACCACAGTGGGCAGCACATGAGCTCTAGGATTCAGGGTCAGGTGACTGTCCCCAGCCCCACCAAGGTGCTTCCATCCCCCAGTTGCCCACTGGGCCCTGACGGCTGCCATCCACAGGTGCAGTCTCAGCACAGCCTGCACGAGAACGGTGCATTGGTGTCTCTGGGCGATGCGCTGTATGTGACAGGCGGCCGCTGGCAGGGCATGGATGGCGACTACCACGTGGAGATGGAGGCCTACGACACTGTGAGGGATGCCTGGGCCCGCCACGGCTCCCTACCGCGTCTCTGGCTCTACCATGGGGCCTCTACCATCTTTCTGGACATCTCTAAGTGGACGAAGCCCTTCAGCTCCCATGCCACCCAGGGGCACTAGGAAGGCAGGCGTTCCTGGGTCAGCTCTCCATTGCCCTGCGGAGCGGCTCTTGTTATGTTTGCCTCTGTTTGCTGTGAGCTGCTGCCGCCCTCTCCAGGGCTTGGGCCGGGCTCTATATCAGATGTCACAGCTGAGGACACAGCTCTGGTCTATGGTGCTACCAAACTTTGTGACCAGTGATGAGAGTGAGCCCCTCATCCTGACGGCGGAGGAGAGAGGTCTGCTCTGCTATCCCTGAAGACCTCAGAGAAGGAAGCTGAGGGGTCCTGGACTGCGCCTGCCGAGAAATGGTTGCCACAGTGTCAGCTCGTCTTGCTCTACCCACCCATGGTTTGTGGCCGCACAAATGAGGGGTTAAATGGGTACCCAGATGCTGAGCCAGGACCTCAAGCTTGGGTGCCCCCCCCCCCGCAGCTCTTTGATCATGTCCTCAGCTTCCTCTCTCCCCTCTTTCCTCAGGTTCCACATCCAGGTTCTCCCTATCCCTAGCCTCTGCATGTTGGTTCTGTGTTCACAGATGCTTCTGGGATGGAAGGTGGCCCGTGCCCCACCACGAGTACCTCTGACACCAGGAAGGCAGCCTCCACGGAGACACTAGGGAGGCAGGGGGATGTGGCACAGGGCAGGAGAGTGAGGCAGTGGAGGATGCCCTCGGAGAGCGGCTCTCAACCTTCCTGATGCTGCGACCCTCTAATACAGTTCCTCATGTTGTGCTGACCCCCAACCATAAAATCATTTCATTGCTACTTCACAACTGTAATTTCGCTACTGTTATGTATCATAATGAATGCAAATATCTGACATATGATCCCTCCACCCTGGTCTTCAGGGACTTCTGGAAATGGCTCCTGGGTGTGTCAGAATCTTGCTTCCAGTGATCTGCTGGGTTGGGGGTGGGGCTGTTATCTGATGGACTCCATTGTCAGTCGGGGTGGATCTGGAGTGGCTCAGACCTTAGTCCCACTGCGCTCGTGCGTGGTTCAGTCTCCACATGGTCTCTGTGTGTCTCTTCCCTCCTTCCCATCTTTACTTCCGTTGTTTCTTCCCCCTGTTCTGCTTGCTCCTCCAGAACAAGGCACTAGACTTGTAACCAAACAATAAAGGACTTCCACTGTGTGTGAGGGACACGCTTGCTCTGTCACAGAGTGGCGAGGACCTAGACTTCAGGTTAGGAATTGGTTGGGACGCTGCCAGCCGCTAGCCCACTGAGGCCTTGAGTGCCCCTCCCCCATACTGCATACGGAGTTCTTCTCCAGGACCAGCCCAAGGGACCAGAGTGGCTCCTGACACCCCGGGTTCTGAGGACAGGTCTCAGTTCCATCCTGCTTTTGCAAGTCAAGATTCACTTTGCCCCTAGACCCTACGTCATGCCTGGCTTTAGGACCACTGAGCTGATTCAGATCAAACGGCGGGGGGGGGGGGGGGCATGGTGGGTAGGTGTTCACTTCTAACAGGACAGAAGCCAGACCTGGGTCCTGAGTGCTCCCAGGGTGTGCTGGTTTGAATAAGAATGGCTCCCATAGGTTCCTATATTTGAATGCTTGGTCACCAGGGGGTGGAACTTTTTGAAGGCTGGGAAGGATTAGGAGGTGTGGCCTCATTAGAGGAAGTGTGGCTTTGAGGTTCCAAAGCCCATTCCAGGTTCAAACTCTCTTCAGTCTGCAGATGAGGATGTAACTCTCATCTTGTAGTTGATGGATTTGATGGAAACAGGGTGAGGACTCAGCCCCACAGGGATGTCCTACTGTGCTTCCTAAGCATGTCATCCCGGGCTGTTCAAAGGCAAAGGTTGAAAGAGGGAAGCTGGGTGTAATCAGAAAAACAGAGTCGGAAAGGCCATGCATCGCTAGGTGAGTGTGAGTGGGGGAAGTCCTGGAGTGGGGACACATGCTGTCCAGGGCCCGGTCCTCAGCTGTGCCTCAGCTGGCCCGATGATCAGTGGCATGCTCAGTGTTCCAAGAAGATAGGTCCTTCAGCTAGGGAGCTGAGGGTCTCATAAAGGGAGTCTCTAACTGGGAGTTCAGGTAGGGCTGTGGAAATGCCGGAGTATCCTGACCACCACCAGCTTCCAGGGACCAGGGTAGTGGCAGATGCTCACTCAAGACAATGCTGAGAGCCACCGGGAGCACAGCTGTAGCCACAGTGCCTGTGGTGCAGCGGCGATGTCCCTAACTCACCTGTCCCCATCTCCTGCTAGTGCCATCCACTGGCCAAACCAACCAGAACTAAGGAGGAGAGACGGGGTACTGGTACAGTCCACTAAGGCCACCCTAAGGACACAGAGAGCGGGAAAGGGGACAGCCATCAGCACAACACACAGAAACTTTGGCACACTGGACATTCATGAGATCCTCATGTAGCTAGACCCACTTTTAGTGCAGGGGAAGGCCACTAGGCAGCCCAAGAACCATTTCTCAACAAGAACGCCATGTTTGGAGCCAGTGAGGGCTTCTAGTGAGCACATAGAGTGCTCAGGCACACGAGCTGCCTACAGGAACCTACAGGAGCCCTCAGAGCTCTCAGGGACACTCGGAGACCGCATATCTTAGTTCCTGTTCTGTTGCTGTGAAGAGATAGCATGGTCAAAGCAACTCTCACAAAGGAACAGCATTTAATTGGGGGCTTGTCCACAGTTTCAGAGGTTTAGTCTATTATCACGGAAGCCAGCATAGTGTGGTGCTTGGTGCTGGAGCAGTAGCTGAGAGCTGTCACCATTGGCAGGCTGAGAGAGACTGGGCCCGGCATTTTGGAACCTTGAAGCCCACCAACCCCAGTAACACACTTCCTCCAACAAGACCACATCTCCTAATCCTTCCAGTCTTTTCCAACAGTCCCACTTCCTGGTGATTAGCATCAAATATAAGAGCCTATGGGGGCCATTCTCATTCAAACCCAAATGCCCTGGGAGCACTCAGAGCAGGCAGAAGCACTCAGAGCCCAAAGGAGCACTCACAGCCTACAGAGGTGCTCACGGCAGGACATGGCATCTGGGCCATGGAATCGCCAAGTGACTCCATCACACTTCCAAGCTCTAGGCCCCCTTTTCTTCATTTATGTGATGGGGACAGTCATGTGATCAGAGCACTGCCGGTCCATCCATGTGGTAGGTAGGCAAGGTGACACCACAGCTAGCTAGAGGCCACACAGCTAGTTAGCCTCAGGCGGGCTCCCATTGTCTTGGAGTAAAGGGAGATTTTTATCCCGGTGACCTCATCAGCCAACAGCCTTCCTTTGGAAGTGGGACACTGGGGAAGCGTGGCTCATTTAATAGCCAGGAAGCCCGGACAAGGCCATGACATGAGGGCCCAAGAATGAGGGTTAGATTTCTGCCAGGCAGAAGGCACATGGGAGGTCACTCCCTGCCCGGTCCCACAGCCACTCATTCAGTACTTCCACGCAGACACACACACCACCCTCACGGGCCCTACTTCTGAATAAGGGGTGCTGTTCCCTCGGGGCTGTGGGTTATGGACCCCATGCTTAGTGTCCTGTGTGCTTTGCTGCGCTCTCCTGTCCTCCAGAGGACCTGGCTTTCCAATGGGACCCTGCAAACATAGAGGAGTTTTTCCCAAAAGTCCATGGGCCTGGACTGGGCTGCGTCATTACCTCGAGCTAGGGTCCAGGAAGCCATGCCAGTACCAGAACCCATTGGATCTGGGCCCTCTGGAAGAACCTATGATATCACTAGGACAGTCCACTGGAAAAATAACTGCTTTCACATGGCAATAGACCCTGATGCCAGCCCTACAACTCGGGCCTCTCTGTGAAGGGAGTAGGGCCATTTGACACCTTAGGGTCATGCTCCCCAAATCAAGCCTCTGCATCTGATTCCCCCTTTTAGCCCTTAAGGGCACCTATACTCACATGTACATGTGCATGCATGTATGTGCGCACATGTGTACACACACACACCAAATCTAAGTCAGGTGGGCTTGCTGCTTTATCTCAAGCCATTGCAATGACACCAGCCCAAGGCAGAGTGGGCCTGCCTCCTTGGAGGAGAGCCATTCAGAGATAGCCTTCTCCCAGATCAGGCCTTCAGGGTTTGCCACATCTGTCCTGGTTGGATGCCCCCGACACCTGGCTTAGGGCATCAGAGGGGTCTGTCCTTCCTCCAAGCTGGATCAGCACTCTGTATCTGTTAGCATAGTAGATGGAGTCGGAGAGGCCCTGTCGGGAAGAGCAGGAACACCTCACAGGAGCTCTGGGTTCGCTAGCTTGAAAGGGAGGAGCCATGAGGGCTTTCTTACACTCAATCTATATCATCAAGGCCTGGGACTCACAGGAAACCAGGAGAAATGGAAGGGAGCCTGGGGCGCCACGCAGAACGGTGGAATGGTGTCCTTGGAGAAAAGAGGGTCTTAGGGGGCCAAAGGTGCAGGGGTAGGAGATGAGACATTGGCCCTAGGTTGCAGCAGGTCAAATATAAGCTGCAATGGTGCCCGCCTCTTCTCCGGGTCCCCTGTGCCTGCTGCGCGCGCCCGAGCCGCGAGGGGGCGTCGGCAGCGAGGGCGGCGCTCGCTAGGCGGGGGATTCAAGCGCGTTATAAGGAGTGGACTGAACCCGCTGCACTCGCTGCTGCTGCCACTGCCGACATGACCTCCGCCCGCAGCCCCGCTGGAGCGCTCTTGCTGCTCACCTGCGCCAGCCTGATCACTGCAATCGGCCTCGGTATCGTGGAGCCCCCTGCGCCCGTGGGGAACCAGGCACATCTGCGGCTGACCGGGGTCGAGCTGCCCGCACCGCCTGCCGACAGCGACAGCCCACCGGTAAGACGGCCGCGCCCCAGATCTCCCTGTCCCAGGGGACCAGAGAAGGCAGGAAGGTGTCACTCCTGGCTGCACAGTATCCAACACCCAACACCCCAAAACGCCCCGTTCAGGGGTTCAGTGAGATCCAGAGTTGTGTGGATGCGACCTCTGCACCGTGGCTTTGGCGGCAGAGTTGTACTAGGCCAGTAGAAGTTGGGAAAGGTGTGAAATGCAGATAACTTGCTCCTTGCGAAACTGGAAGACTAGTAGATGAGCAGGGCTCTCAGACCCAGTTCCTTTTTGTTGGGCGACTTTGTTAGGTGACTGCTAGTGAGAAAGGAGTGATGTGTGTGTGTGTGTGTGTGTGTGTGTCTGTGTGTCTGTGTGTGTGTGTCTGTGTGTCTGTGTGTGTGTGTGTCTGTGTGTGTGTGTCTGTGTGTCTGTGTGTCTGTGTCTCTGTGTCTCTGTGTGTCTGTGTGTCTGTGTGTCTGTGTGTCTGTGTGTGTGTCTGTGTGTGTGTGTCTGTGTCTCTGTGTCTCTGTGTCTCTGTGTGTCTGTGTGTCTGTGTGTGTCTGTGTGTCTGTGTGTCTGTGTGTGTCTGTGTGTCTGTGTGTCTGTGTGTCTGTGTGTCTGTGTGTGTGTGTCTGTGTGTTGGGGGGGGGGTGCAGGCTGGGGAGGGTGTGGCCCGCACACTGCCCGGGGAGTGCGGATTGGTGCCCTCACTAGAGCGTTCAGCCCTGGAGGCCAGGGCTCATGAAAGAATCTCTGTGGGCACAAGGACAACCCAGGCCAGAGTTCTTCGTCCTCAGCACCCAAGAGGCCAAGGAAACATCCACTAAAACAGCTGGAGATGGTTACAACTCTGGGCTCCCTCTGCAAGGTATCCCAAGGTCCTGCCACCATCCCATTCCTGCCTCATTTGGTCGGTAACCTCCCCCACCCCCTTCTGCCATGAGCCTTCAAAACTTGCATGAGGCCAAGGAGTGGGCTCGAACTTCCCAGAGGGGTTTTACCAGTGGACCCTCTTTTGGAGTGCCAAGGTGTCACCAGTTCCCTGATAGCTGGAACTTGACTGGCCAGGGCATCTTCCCAGTCCCCACTCCTGAGTCCCCAGACAACATGGCTAACAGTGGTCTGAATCCATACACAAATCACTGGACCCCCTGGAAGGGTCTGGAAGGGTCAGCACACCAGTCGTGACCTATGACAGGAAACCCTGCATTTCCACTGAGGGTATCACAGCAGCATAGAAGTCTCCATCTTACCAGCATAGCAGCCTGACCTGTGACCCACAAGGCACCCGGGTCTTTGTATCTGTGCCCATGACTTCTTCTAAGGTCCCTTGAGCCATTGCCTGCTCAGTTGGCATCCCTGCATGGAACCCAGACTGCTTGAGGCCCGCTGACTGTCCTATTTGCCAAAGGCCTCTGCCAGAAAGCAAGGTTCCTCTCGGAGCTAGGCTTCTTGGGCCAGTGTTTTAAAAGCGCTGAGAAAGATAAAGGTCCCATGTAGTGGCCTTGAGGCTGGTCTCCCTGGCATTTCTGACCGTGGGGAGGGGACATAGGACCTGCTGTCAGCCAGGATTCACCTATCCATAGTCACCTCCTGAGCACCTGTGGGTGCCAGTGACTATCACGGACAGTGGGATTGTTCTAGCATATGTCCTGGAAGGACAGGAAGATGTATTCCAGAGATCCTGCTGCAGAGCCCCGCCCTCCCCCCCCCCACCTTCCTGTAGCCTGGGCTCTCCCAGGAGTGCAGTGAGGTTTCATCCCCCCTGGGCTGGGGCTGGGGGTGAAGACAGTACCCTCTGAGAACACAGGTGGCAAGGTCCAGAGTGCTGCCAAGCAACACCAACCAACCGGAGGCTGTCTGCGTTCTAGGAGCCCACCATGGGGCACGCACACAGTGTGGATCCCCGCGATGCCTGGATGCTCTTTGTTAGGCAGAGTGACAAGGGTATCAACAGTAGAAGGAGAAGCAGGACCAAAGCCAGGCGGCTGAAGGTGAGCAGCGTGTGCTACCACTGCCAGCAGCCCTTAGTTAGCATCCTGGTCTCCAACAGCAAATGCCATGGAAAGAACCAAGTACAAAGCCAGGGTCCAGCCCGCTTCCAGTTAGGAGCCTGGGTCCAATCATTCACCCTATCCCCTTAGGATGCCAGGTCCTCCCTGGCTTTTCCCTCATGTCCAGAGAGAGAAGCTTGCCCAACAGGGGTTTGGGAGTCAGGGAGCCAGCCTGGGCTGGAAGCTGGCTCTTGGACCTGAAGGATGACTCCTGCGTTGAGCTCCTCGAAGTGACTCTGGATCAAGGCTGGGCCTTACTGTGTGTTGGCCTTCCCTGTCCAGGTCAGCCTTGGCTGCCCAGGCTCTGGGCCTGACCTGAGAGGTGGCTTGGCCCTGGACCCTTAGCCATCTGACCTTGCCCAGGCTTCCCTGCACCGGAGCTTGCCTCCCTTCCCTTAGGTCCCCACCCAAACCAGTATAAACTCCTTCAGGAGTCCCAGAATCAAGTGCGGTGGAGATATACACTGCTGTGTCCCTTGGCAGAATGAGATGCAGGTCCCCAGAGGCAGCCCGGAGTGGTCCTTTCTCTGGGAGTCACACCAGGAGGGGCAGATGCAGTATGCCTGCCCCGCCCCGCCCCAAGTGAACTGCACATTCATACCTGCACAACTCCACCCCCACACTCTCTGGGCCTGTGGCTTTCACCCCCTGCTTGAGGACAGAGGGACACGCGAGCCCAAAGGACCTCCACCAAGAAGGGACGAGCCCACAGCCATTGGGGAGCTCTCCTGCCTGCCTCCCTCTGGCAGGACCCAGCAGAGGGGTCACCCATGCCCTTCCCTCAAACGTTCTCACTGCCTACTTTCCCTTCCAGCTTGGCCTGCCAGGTCCCCCAGGCCCACCAGGTCCTCAAGGCCCGCCAGGCCCCCTTATCCCATCTGAAGTTCTGCTGAAGGAGTTCCAGCTATTGCTGAAAGGTAAGGGTGCCGCCCTGTGGGCACACGCTCTGTGGTAAGCCCTCAGGGCATGTCTAGAGGGCAGAGTTCAGCACCAAGGGAATATCTGCTAAGTTGCTCTCCAGCTGGCAGCCCTACCTACCATGGAGTGGGGGGGGTGAGGGTGGGAGAAATATGGCAGGCAGAGGCCTCATGGGAGACAGACTGCCTTGTATGGTTCTTCACTGAGGACCAGGACCCCCATCTCCAAGCTAGGAGGCCAGTCCAGGGCTGGGGAGTGGCTGTCACTATCCCCTGGAGTTGACTGTACCAGAGAGAACTGCTAGGAGCCCTTTCCCTGTTTCTATCCCGCCGCTTATTTGGCTCATCAGGACTGCCAGTCCAGGGCCACAGGCGGGTGGATCACAGGAGAGTGACCGCTCTGTGTCAGGCGCTGTGCAGCAGCGGGAGAGCACGGAGCCCAAGCAGTGCACCAGCGATTTCACTACCCCAGCCTCAGGCAGCCCCTCCCGAGTTCCGACCGCCCAGGATGCTGACAATGACCAGGACCCAGGGCCTGTGTTGGCGCTACTGGCTGCGACCCTGGCCCAGGGCCCAAGGGCACCACTCGTGGAGGCTGCGTTCCACTGTCGCCTGCGCCGGGATACGCAGGTGGAGCGGCGTGCACTTCATGAGCTCAAGGTCTACTACCTGGTGAGTGGGGCGCGCCTAGCTGGGTGGAGCAGGGCGGGACCCCGCATGAACTTGTCTGTGTGCTCTGTAGCCCCACGTCGAGGGAGCCTTCCTCCGAGGCCCAGGCTTGAACCTGACCAGTGGCCAGTACACGGCACCAGTGGCTGGCTTCTATGATCTTGCTGCCACTCTGCACGTGGGTGAGGCCCAGGGCGTGGTGGTGGGGTGCCCTCTGCTCTGGTCTTGCCAGCACCCACGTGACCAACCACCTGAACTTGTCTCCACTGTAGCACTCACTGAGCAGCCAAGAAGAGGACCACCACGGCCTCGGGACCGGCTGCGTCTCCTGATCTGCATCCAGTCTCTCTGCCAGCACAACGCGTGAGTGGGCGCTGCAGCCTGGCCCCTGCCAGTGTAGTGAGCCTCCTCCATTCCTACTACTATTGGGGCCTGGGGGACCCCGATCCCATCCTGCCCTACCTCTTTCCCGGGGACCTGTGAGATGGGCCTTTTCCTGTTCTGCCTCCTTTCTGACCCTTCCTGACACCAGGGCTCTCATGCAGAGGACAGGGGAGGGTTATATCTGGAGGGGCTTTGGGGGAAGTCCCACCAGCCCCCTCTTTGGTCACTCTCCCGTTCCTCACCTGTGAAAATCCCCGATGACTTAAGTTTCTCATCACTTGTGTGCCCCATTTGGTCCAGAACAGGGACTGTGTCCTTCTCTGCCTGGCACCTGGAGTGGAGGCCAGGCACAGGGCAGGCACTCTGCACAGTTGCAGGGTGCGGGAATGAATAGCGAAAGTTGCAGATTTGATCTGGTTTCGGACTTCCTGAATCTGCTGGCTTCCTGTGACACCTGCTGCCTCCCATCTTGGCCTGTACTTGTTTCCCATTGGAGAGCCAGGACTTTGTGCCCTTTGCATGGCTCCAGCCTTTCCTCTGTCCTCCTTCCGAGGACCCAGTTCAAACACAGGTTCCTAGGGATGGTGGCTCTGCACCTAGCACTTTACTGCATATGGTGGTGATCACTGAATGACAGCTGCTGAGTGCACTGTGAGGGAAGCTGGTTAGGCCTGGGGACAGGCTGACTGTCTTTCTGTCTTGGGCGCAGCTCCCTGGAGACTGTCATGGGGCTGGAGAATAGCAGCGAGCTCTTCACCATCTCAGTGAATGGTGTCCTGTATCTGCAGGTGTGTGGGGCTGTGCCGACCATGCAGGAAGTATGGGGGGGTGTTGGGAGGTGTTCAGAGCCATTGAGCATAGCATCCTTAGACATACCCAAGTGCTGATGCTGGCTTGAGAAGAGCCAGGCTTCAGGTCCCATTCTCCCTTAGCTCATGCCCCCCAACCAGTCTCCACCAGTCTCACTTTCAGACCTTCCAAGATTCTTGTAATGTGACAGGTGCTTCCGGCCACCCAGGCCCTCCATAGGGCCAGAAGGAGGGTGGGCACACGGCCTGATCCTGGGCCCTCTGGGACTATGGGAGGTCCAAGACAGTCATTCTCTGCATGGAACCTCAGTGCCAGTCTCTTGCCACTGTGGATCTGCCTAGCAGTGGGGATGCAGCTGTCAAGGGGGATTTACTAAATAGGAAATGGAATGATGGAGTGTTCACATAGCTCTCTGCTGAGCTCCAGGATGGGTGGAGTCAGCTCTAGTGCTGGCAGCATGAATTCCGTTGAATTCTAAGGGGGCATGCACCATGTGGGTCCTCAGGTGCAACTATCCTGGGTGGATCTCAGTCCTTATGGCAGTTTCCAGAGAATGAATGGTGTGCCACTAATATGTAGACCACACTGGGGCAGCAAGGTCAGAGTAGTGCTCACGATGGCTCTGCAGGCTATGGCAGGAAGGCCTGGGAGACAAGCTGTGTGGCACAGGGACCTGTTAGCCTCTTAAGCCCCACTTGGGCGGGAGCAGGAGATAAGAAACACTGGAGAGTGACAGAGTAAGAGATGTAGTAGTTTTTGGGCACAAGACTAGTCAACATTGGCTCTGGACTTGGTCTGTCCTTCTCCCATGTGGGGTAGAGTAGCCAGTGTGGACAATAACCCATGTGGGTGAGCACCGCAGGCTGCCCAGGGCCTCTGCTGCAGAGCCACCTGACACGTGCCCTTCCCTGCAGACAGGACACTACACCTCCGTCTTCTTGGACAATGCCAGCGGCTCCTCCCTCATGGTACGAAGCGGCTCCCACTTCAGTGCTATCCTCCTGGGCCTGTGAGTGACAGCAGCTCTATGCAGGAGGAAGCCCATTGGGCCTCTACGTACACTGGCCACTGCATTACCTCTTAGCACGGTCACCCTAGACATTCTGGAGAAGGCGATGGAAGGAAGTAGGCTCTCCCACAAGCAACAGCGTTTTGTGGGTATCATTAAGCCCTTCTTGGCTCTTCTGGGACCATCCAGCCTACTTGGTAGCACTCGCTATATCTCCAGTTGCAGAGCTGGTACCCTTGTGCCTCCATACAGCATCAAATTCTTTCCTATGGCCCCGCATCCTCAGTACTTTGTAGGGAACTCTACCAGGCCATTACCTGGAACAGCTCACCCTATATAGCACAGGGCTATGGGGAAATGATTGTAGGTCCATAGAGTGCTCAAGAGGGGAGTTCTAGGCCTTCTTGGACTACACACCCTGGTTCCTAGGTTCCTGGGTCTTCCCATGAGAAACTGCAGGGCTGCCAGCCTATAGCTTGTCTCAATGCAGTCTCCCCACTTTTAATAAAATGTTGGCCTGGCCCCACACAGGCAGTGGAGATGACTGGGACCTCCAAGGTCCCTACAGCATGCTGATGAAGAATTGACACAGCACAGCCATCCCCACCAGCTGCTTTGGGATCTGTTGGCCTACCTAGCAGTCAGTACTCAAGCCTGGGATTGTGGGGGTGGGAGTGGGGGTGATAGTTGCCTGTTGCTTCATCTTTTGGCTAACCTCAGGATGAGGTTACCACAGCAAGTGCGAATGCCCTTCTATAATCAGACTTCTCAAAGCAGGCTGCCAACACACAGCTCAACAGGGTACCGAATGGAGAGCTGTCCACGGTCAGGCCTGGCCCGAATGATCAGGCCTGGCCCGATTCTCAGTAGGGCTGGTACCCACCCTACCAGGAAGTGTACTGGCCTGGGTCCTGACTCCCTGGCACTTTGATAAGGACATAGGGTAGACACACCCTTCTCTGGATTTCACTTTGTATCCAGTGGGCACAGACATGTTACAGAAGTTATCTTCTACCCTTGAGAAAGCCACATACGGGCATATCTCAACCACTGTGCTACAGAGCAACTTCAAAGTATTTATTGTGTCACATTGCCTGGAAGAATGTATTTTTGTAATGGACCACACAAAGTGTGACAATGAAGGGCATACCTGAGGGTCATGACTTTCTTCCAGCCCACCTCACTGAAGACCATGAGGGGCAAGCTCTGGAAAGCGAGGGGGAGATGCCTCTAGTCTTGGGGCTCTCCAGAAGGTGGCAGGGGAGGCTTTTTACCAACTATGAAGTGCCAAGTGTCTCCCAGACATGGGTCACAGCCTCTGGGGTTACAAGAATTTGCTGAATTAAAATGTTATACTCCTGAGGAGGTTGTGTTCTCTTCCATATGCCAGGACACTCAGGTCCTAGTATCCTAACAGGGTTGCTGCCCCATTCCCCGGGAAAGGGGAGCACTGACACTAAGTTACTTATAGTCTTTTTGAATTGCACCTATTTGGGAGGGTGCAGTGTCAAACCATGGCACAGATATGGAGGTCAGATGACAGCATACGACAGAGGGTCTCTCCTTCCACTTTGTGGAGACTGAACTTAGGTCCTTGGTGGGAAGCACCTTTACCAGCCGAGTCAGCTTACTGGGCCCACATTCGGTTATTTTTAAAAGGGTTTTATTCCTTTTTGTAAGTAGGTTGTGCAGGCATGTGAGCATGTGAATGTTGAGGCCAGAGGTCAATCTAGAGTGGTGTTCCTCAGGAGCCATGCACCTTGTTTTATTCAGACAGTATCTCACCAGGCCTTAGACACAAGCCCCAAGGACCTGCCTGTTGTTCCCAACTCTGCTGTCGGTCCTGGAACTCGCTTTGTAGACCAAGCTGGCCTCAAACTCAGAGATCTGCCTGCCTTCTGCCTCCTGAGTGCTGGGATTAAAGGCGTGTGCCAGCACCACCTGGCCAGGCTTGGCCTTTTATGTGGATGCTGGGGATCATTTTCACCAAATGAGCTGTTTCCAGCTCCACCCCATCCTATTCACTGGCCCTGCTGTGTTTTTTGTTTTGTTTTTTGGAAACAGTATGTCATGCATCAGATCCTGTGTCTTACCTCTCAAGTGCTGGGTCACAGGAATGCATCACTACACCTGGTTTATGTGGTGCCAGGGGTAGAAACCAGGGTCCCATGCATGCTAGGATAGCTTTTACCAACTAAGACATATCTTCAGCCCTCAGTGGGTTTTGGAGACAGGGTGTCCCACGTAACCCAGGCTGGCCTCCTGAGTGTTTGCATGTAAAAATGTCTCTGCATTTAATTTCTATTCATGGCTTTTCCCTGACAGACCTGAGACGTCATCTGTGGTTTATGCAAGATGTTTTGAGGTCCTTGTAGCATCTACATCCACAGCATGTTCCCTAACTGGCCAATTGGTTGTATAGCTGGGCCGGGGAAGAGAAAGGCGGTGATTGTTACAAAAACAGGTCTGGAAAGGCGGCTGTGCAACCCTAACAGCAAGAGCTCATCACTAAATGACCCAAGCACTGACTTCCTACATGGAAAGTATTTGCAGGCAGGTTAAGGGTTCTCCAGAGGGCCCTATCATACTCTTGCCCAGAGGTTCCCTGCCATGTCTACCTCAGGCAGCAGAACCAAGTATTCAACTGTCCTGAGATTGGCAGTGAGTCTGATGCTGTGGGGGTGGTGACATATGGGTGAAAGCCAAGATGCAGTTGTTTAGGAAGCCTGGACGGGCTGGCACTCCATGTGGTAATCTCATCTATGGGCCCTGTCCCAGCAGCATTTCCTGCTGGAAATGCTCATGTGTTCTATACAGAAGGCTGAACAAGGCCTGAGTGCCACTCCATCATTCCACTGTAAGCTCCCACTTCCCCAAAGCAGTCATAATGAGGGTGAGAGCATGTGAACTACATAACAAGCCATCTTGGACCTGTCCAGGATGCCCAGGATGGTTCTGACAGGACAGACCCAGAGCACATTCTAAAGCAAACATAGGTAACAAATTAAAGGAACTCAAATGACTAGGAAAAAAGAAACCTTTATTTACAACCATAGAAGCCCCACAGGAGTACACACACCGTGCACAAATACAATGAACCTGCAAGTCAAGAGCGCATGTGCAGACCCTCAGTGTCCTATCCTCACCACCAGCACCGTCACGTTGTCTGCCGAGCCCCGCTGCACTGCCTTGTTAGCCAGCCTGTTGCATGCAGCTTCATAGCGGGCATCCACAGCAGGCTTCCCTTCTCGGGTCTGGATCTTGTCATCCTACCAAAGGGATGGGATCTGGGTGACCAGGGTGTCCGCTTCTGTCATTCTCCCCAGACACTACAGCCAGGGAAGGGCCTGTCTGTCCCTAATAAAGACCGGCGGGACAGTGACCTGTGAGCCCTCAACAGGGTTCATGTTAAAGACTTCAAGGGCTGCCCTGACACAGGGCTAGAGAAGTAAAGCGCGGTTGACACAAGTGGCACTCCCTCTAAGATGTCTCACCTCAAGGCAGGACAAGATGAAGTTCACAGCTTCCTCTGGGGTAAAGACCTTGAAGAGCCCGTCACAGGCCAGCAAAATGAACCTGCAGGATTAGAAAGAAACAGGGGGTTTCAGCCATAAGACCCTGAAAAGGAGGTAATCTGAGGGACAACTTAGTGGAAGAGTCGCTGGCGGCTTGACATACTCAGTAGCCCCAAAACAAAACAAAAAAAAAAAGGTAAGGATAGCGGCACACACATATGTAACCTTGGTCCTCTGGAGGTAGAGAAGGTCATTCTGGTTACAGAGAAAGTCTGGGCACAGGTGGGCTACAGAAGACCTTGTCTCGAAAGACCAAAACCAACTGAGCTTGGCAGTACACACCTTTAATCCCAGCACTCAGTAGGCAGAGGCAGGTGGATTTCCAGGACAGCTTGGTCAACATAGTGAGACCCTGTCGGGTGGCACCCACCCTGTCTCAGCTCAGTCTGGTTTCCCTGAACCACTTCTTCTTCCTGCCCGGTTTGGCTCAGCCTTCGCTGTCCTGCCAGGGCCAGGAGAGCCCCTGCTTTGCAGCCCGGTCCTTAGCCACCCTTGCTAGGTAACTGTGCTGCCCTCACAAGCCTGTGCCTGGTCTTGATCCACATGCAATAGGCAACACCTGGATAGGAAGTCTTTCTCAGTCTCTGCCCCTGTGACTTTCTACATTTATGAGCTAAACCCAAGACCCTGCTCATTTTGTCTCCAGAACTTTTCCCACTTCTCCCTCCATCCATCAAGACTCTAGACACCATTACAAGCACAGAACTGGATGCTTCATGCTGTCACTTGAATGAGTTGACCATAGGTCTGGACAACACCTGGATTAAACCAAGTGTCCATCTCATTTATTCCCTGAGCACTATGGAAACCAGAAACCAAGGTCTGTCTCTGCACTACTGGGACCAGGCACATTGCCTACCTACCCCAACTCCCCCAGCAAAGACAGAACACAGATTGAAGTCAAGTTGGCAAGAGAAACAAGCCCCTGTGCATATACACCAACCCCTTTGGTGTCATGTGCTTTTACCTGTCATTGGGGGTCAGCTGACAGCGTCTGATGTCAGGTACAGATGTGACCCCACAGCGCTTATACTGCCCATCTCCAATGGAACGTGATACCTCCAGCACGCCCAAGACACGCCCATCTCTAAAATGAGGGGAATAACGTTAGACACTCAGTGTGACAGGTCACAGGTCCCTAAAAACAGAAACTGAGAGATCATGGCATACCTGGGCCTAACATTTTTGTTTCTCAAGACAGGGTTTCCTGTGTAGTCCCGGAACTCACTCTGTAGACCAGGCCGGCCTCTCAGATATCTGTCTGCCTCTGCCTCAAGGGCCGGGATTAAAGGCGGATGCCACCACTGCTTGGCTGACCTGACATTTCTTTATTTCAGGTGAGGCACAGACACAACCTTGGTCATTCTGGTCCTGTTCCCCAAGGGCTGGGAACACACACCACTGTACACTGGTGACAACCATCCAACATAACTCCTG